AAGCAAGGGCAGTGTGAGTGTGTGCTCACGCATGCAGGCAGGGACAGTGCGTGTGTTCACAGGCTGAGTCCCACACGCACACCCCACCATACACATATACCCACACCCCCCCCGCACTGCCATATATGCAGACAGCCACAGCCACACACCCCCAGGCACTCTCTCCCCACAAACCCCATAACCACCCATACCCCACATACTCACAGCCCCCCACAAACCTATACACCCCCCCACAATATACAAGAATATATTAACTTCATTTTAAGCTATTGTTCAATCACCTCTGGGTACACTACATAAAGACATGCAAATCAGGACAAAAATATTTTTTGAAATCAAATTATATTCTAAAAAGCAAACATCTACAGCATTCATTAATTTGGTATTTTTCTGGTTCCAAGATGGTGACGGGGGGTGGGGGGGGTGGGCTCCTGTCAAGGGGCAGGACTAACCATGTGGCACTTGACAGCTTGCCAAAACTCAGTAAGTGGCCCTCCACCCAAAATAATTGCGCACCCCTGCTATAAATGATTTGAGGAGAGATGCATGGAATCATGGGCTGATTTTTAGGATTCAAAGTAGCTGAAATTCATATGCCATTGGGTTGATCTGCCAGCTAATGGAATAAGGTCCTAGGAAATGGTGGTCCAGGCTTCATGAGGACTAACTGGTATGAAGGTGTTCAACAAAGCCATTCTGGACCATGAAGCAAGCAGGCCCTGGCTGGCAGCGTAGCCCCACCTTTTCCTTATAATCTTCCTTTGCCTTTTTGAGGTGTTGTTTCAATACTTCTTGAACCTAATATGCTGAACCAATTCCATAGCTGCTGGGTTGATGGATCCTATGGATAGTGTTGGGTGAAACCAAGGGTAGTAAAAAACTGCCTGGTCTAGGAGTACTCAAAAATTTTATACACAAATTCTCAGTAAGGTAGACCAATGGTCTTGCTGGAAGTTCAAGCAGTAATGGCGGTACTGCTTGAAGATCTGATTTTTTTTTTTTCCAACTTGGGCATCTCTCTGGAGATGGGAGGCAGAGGAGAGGTAGGTGCAGACTCTCAGTAGCCATAGGGCTTTGCGCCAGAACCAACAGTCAACTGAAGTCCGATGAAAAGCAATCTGGAAGTCCATGGAGTTGTACCACATGAAATTAAATGGGCCATTGGATAAGCTGATCTGTCATAGTCAGAATCGCACAAAAATTGTTCAAGACTGCTGGCTCCATGATGGAAATCTAGGACAACAGCAGCCCACAGTCAAGGTAGCAGTGGGAAAGGCTTGGAGGAGCCTGTAAGTCTTCTGAGGAAGCCTTTTAGGACAAGCACGTCACAGGAATAGACAAAGGCCTGCATTGTCTGTGCAGCTACAACCACCAGAAATAATGAGGCAAGTGAGGTTTTTTGTTCCATGAAGTCCTGCCAGCGGAAAGTCATGGCTTAGACAAAAAACATATGATGGTCAACCTAGCAGGGCCCCGGGCACTGAGATCTTTCCCCTAGTAAACATAACCCCATCCTAATGCAATATTTCTTCTTTATGGAGACGGGTTGGTCTTTTGGGGCTCACTCTTCCCTAGTGGTTGTACAGGGTAGATCCAACGGTAATGTAACACTAATGAAGTTTGGGGCTTTAGGAAAGGGCTAGCTTCTGGAATGTCTTGTGAAGAGTCTGTATCATACTCAACTTTTTTGGGAGAGAGCACCTGCATTCCCACTTTGAGGCCCACACTGGTATGTTATCTGAAAGTCAAACAGTGTGTGAGGGGAAAACCCACCAGAGATGCCTATGGTTAAAAACTTTTGCTTTCTGAAAGTATTCTAATTTTTTGTGGTTGCTAAAGACCTGAATTGCGTGATAACCTCCTTTCAGGTGATGCTGCTAGTCTCCAAAGTCCACTCTAATGGCAGTCCAAGATTTCTTAGTATTGTTCTGCTGGAATGAGCCTGGAGGAAACCCGTAGTGCCTGCTCTGGGCCCTTTTGTTGAGAGACTAGTGTGCCATTCACTATGCTAGAGGCAGCTGTTTCCACCACAAAGCCAAGGCTGGGTCTAGGTGAGCCAAAACCAGGGCTGAGGTAGGGTTACCACATGTCCCTGTTTGGCCAGCACCCTCCCAGATTCCATAGCCCCGTCCCAGCTGGTTGGTCTGAAGTCCTGAGCAGGGAGGTGGAGCGGTATGGTATATGGGGCAGGTGGCTGGGCAGGCACTGCTGCTGCTATGCAGGAGCAAGACATGCAGACTGGAATAGGCACCACCCTGCCCGCACATGGCATGTCCTTGGTCTCACACAGCAGAAGCAGTGCCTGTGTGGCTGCCTGCCTGGAGCACCATGCCAATCCACTTCCCTGCTAGACTCTAGCCTGGGACTTCTGACCAACCTGCTGGGACCAGGCTATGGAATCCAGGAGTGACCCTGCCAAACTGGGATGTATGGTCACTAAGCTAAGGTAAAGTATTGCTTCAGGTGCTCAAAGACCAGCCAGGCCTCAGCAGACAAACAGAACTGAATGTTTTAATAAAGCAGGATGGTGACAGGGGGGTCACTACCTGGGCAGAATTGGTGATGAATTGCTCATAAAAATTTGTGAACACGAAATCTCTGGAGTTCCTTGACATTTTAGGGTGCCCTCCACCTGCAGACTTCCTTTACCTTCCAAGGGTCTATTTCCAGACCTTCTAGGAACAGAAAAGGCAAAGAACTCAGCAGAAGACTGGCTAAATGCACATTTTTAAAGGTGTACTAGTTAGCCCAAATAGCATAACCAGGTATCAAAATGTCCATAGATTCAGAGGGCCATTTTCTATTCATTGCCAACCCTTACTTTAACCAGATTGCATGCACCAGTGAGATCAAGTTCTTTAAACATGCAGAGAGTTTTTAGATGACCTTGTAGCTCTAGGATTAGAAGTAAGGGGTAACGATTTCATACCCCTTTCATTTCATAATGGATTTCACACAATGATTCAGTTCAGGGTCCAGTAGTCCACGCAGAGACCTTCCATCTTTCCTCTTTGAAGAACAAGCTGGGGCACCAGCCGATGTGAAATTTCCTTGCAAATCCCTAGGTAGGGTGGCCATCATAGAGGACAGGCCAGTTGATTCAAAAATCAGACACCTTTATGTCCTCTATTTTTCTCTTGAAGAGAAATATAGAGGACATAAAGGCATCTAGTTTTGTATCAATAGAAGACAAGAGTAGCAGAAAACTGGAATGTCCTGTATGATGGCCACCATATCCCTAAGCCAGGTTCTTCTGGATTTACTCCTGGAAGGCAGCTAGTTCCATCTCAGACATGGCATAGATGGACCCTTCTGCATGATCTTTGCCTCATGCTTTAAGCCAGTGGGGTAAGCTGTAGTTCCTGTGTTGAGGAATGGTGTCTGCATTTCTTTCAAACATGTCAGCATAATCTTAGCATTTCTTAGGTAGCCTAGGTTCTTCCAAGGGAAACAGAACCCCCCATGGGCTGCTATCTGTTGGGAGTCCAGCCTGGGCCCACCTGAGTTTTGTGTCAACCCCAAGCTGACTTCCCCGCTTGCAAGGCCTGGGTTGGCACATTTCCTGCATCCTTTTCTATAGGGCAGCAGGTAAGCACATGTCCTGATGTCCCACAGGAGAAATACAAGTTCTTCTGATAGTCATCCCATTATATACTTCAGGTGAGGTGATAGCACTCCTCCCCCTGCCCCGTCCCCCTCCCCCGGCCATCTATCTGCATGAGTTCAGCAGTAGGGTTATCTGAATGGGGCAGAGGACCAGGCAAAAGGGAATTCTTTTCTTCTCTCCTTTTCTGAAGACAATGGTCAATGTCAGTCACTAAATACACACAGGCCAGATGGTTCCTTTTCCTCTCTCTGGACTTACATAGCAGAAGTGGAGCGTCTAGTGATACAGAGCGTCTAGTGATAGGAGCCAGCCACCCGCATATTAGGGAGTGGGCAAAGTCTCAGATATGCTCTATCCAGCCTCTGGGAACAACATTAGGGTAGCAAGTTGGGAAAGATGGCTTTTCAGGTCAGTCCAAGGCCCTGGGTTCAAGGCTGTAGGCAGCAGAGAATACAGTTTTAAGGATCACCTTTCCAATGCCAGGATCACTGAGCTCTGAGCTGCTACACTTCAGCAAAGGGCATCAAGCCTGGTCAGAGAGCTGAACATACTTTAGCTTGAAGTCAAGAACAGCACCCAGTACTTGATGCTGCTTCTCAATCGACAGCTGTAAGGCTAGTTAGAAGGTGTCTATTCCAGCATCTCACTGGGAAAGTGTGAAAGAATGCTATCCCAGTTTCTTCCTAGAGTCTTCTATAGGTTTTTCCTTGCTATTGTCTTTTCACCTGTCTGTCAATTTGGCTGCCCCAGGTTACTGAGGACGAGGGACTTCAGGTAAGAGGGTGGGAACGCCACCTCTCTACTGTGTTAGCACTGACCTCATGGCATGGGGGCACAGGCTTGAGCCCATGTCACTCTCTTAAGGTGACCAGTGGTGCTTTTTAAATTGGTTGGGTTGGCATCAAACAACACCTGGCCTTGATTGGGTCTTGAAGGTGATGTCAAAAGGGCTATATAAAGCTAAGACACCCTAGGATAGGGAAGCAGCTGTGTTAAGTTACATGCAGCAACTGGAACATCTGCAACTCTCTTTTTTCCTCTCAGGATGCTGAAGTAAGTAAACTACTTGGAACTTATCTAGATATATAGCTGCTTACTGTAATGTAGAAGTGTACCAAACAGCTACTAAGCTGACATGGTTTGCTCTGGGTTATTATCTGATACTTTTCTATCCTGTACCCTTCTCCATTCCTAACCTCTTTAATCAATAAAGATCTCCACTATAATAAGCATGGTGGACTTGCTGGGAGAGGGATTGGGGCATGTCTTTAAGCTCCCTATGCTTGGCTAACTAAGGAAGGCTACTCATAGAATCATAGGGCTGGAAGGGACCCCGAAGGCTTCATTGGGTCCAGCCCCCTGCATGACGAGGGAAGACATCTGGGGTCAGGTGACCCCAGCCAGGTGACCATCCAGTCTTCTCTTGAACACCTCTAGGGTAGATGATTACACCATCTCTGGGGGGAACTTGTTCCATAGTCTGGACACCCTAGGGGAAACTTATTCCATAGTCTGGACACCCTAGTTTTGAAGAAGTTGGGACACCTCTTTGTGCTTCAGGCTAAAGGAAGCACCCTAAGTTCTCGCAGTGGGTCAAGCACCTTTAAGGTCTAAAAGGCCTGTATACCGCAGGGGGCACAGGGCCTGGATACAGACCAGAGTCCTGGGTGGTGGCAGCGATTACCCCAAGCTTGCAGGTGTGCTCCAGGAAAGGGGTTGACCAGACATGAGGCACCCAAGGAGAGGCACTCAGTGCTTGGTAAGTGGTCAGGCACAGTGAGGTGGGTGGTTCAGTGCAGGAGCTCCCCCTACTGGTCTGTCACAGAAAGAACACTCCAGGTCCAAAACTCCAAAAATTAAAAAAAAATATTTAAACAAACTAAATACAGCACGTCCAGGAAGAATTGAGACATGACAAAAATTAGGAATAAAATACCAGGTGAAACATTAAATTATGCAAACAAGAATTTGATATCAGAGATAACAGAATTTCCAACAAAACCTAAGCATACACTCACCAGTCTCTCTCTGCTAACTATCAGCAAGCCACGAGCTCCATTGATCTGAGCAAGCCTCACTTTTTCATAGAAGGTGCAGTTTCCCCGCATCACCATGGGGATTCTGTTATTAAATCCCCCATCAGGCACATCAGAAGGAGAACACAAGACAGATGTTGTCTGATCCTGAAGCTGCAAAAGGGACTGAAAGGATAGAGAAATTTGTTTCAGAACTGCAACTATAAAAGTTTTGGAAAAAAACCAACACTCTTTATTTATTTATATGAAACAAAAATTGGCATTTTAAAAAACTATAAGTTCTAAGATAATAATCATAAAACACATTAAATTAAGTTTTAGTAGAATAGAACACTTAAATCGCTATAATACTAGGTTATTAGTTACGGTTTTTTGAAAATTCAAGTCAGACACAAAAGATGCTCTTTTCACAGAAACCCAAATACTGATACTCTGTTTACCTTGTTATAGTGAGAAACTGTGCAGCCTGCCTGTCTAACATTGCCTGTCACTTTCAGCTGCTTATTATTTTTCCAAACTTTTAAGCACTTGGCTTGAAATCTTCAGTGAATCTCTCTCACTGACTTGCCTCCCTTGCTTAGAACAAAGCTGGCTGCTACTTGTTTCTCCCAATTCCTTTGAATAGGTACCATGCTTTGTTACAAACCTGTCTCTCTCATTTCTTTGTGACAAGTACCACACAGCCTAGTTGGAAAAACTGTTTTACAGTCTCTGAGAAATTGAAGAACCACTTTATCAATGTTTTATAAAGCAAACAGGAAGAAGCCAACACCAGACTTGCAGAACTAACAAACAGCATACAGAACTATTGGGACATAACAGCCATTTACCAGGAGAAGAAAGGCTTCACAGTTGGATGCAGATATCGCAAACACCTGCCCTCCTTAAAGAAGTTGAAGGAAGCAAAACTTTCCAAACTTATATGTTACAACAATCCCACAATCCAATACCATCAGCCTATCTAACCACACTCTCAGCTTCACTGAGATGCTTGGCCCAGTGCTGTTCAATATCTTCATCAACGACCAGAATTAGGGGGTGAAAAGCCCACTGGCCAAGTTCGTGGATGACACCAAGATATGGGGTTGTGTGGACACACCCGCAGATAGGCTGCAGATACAGGCAGACCTAGACAGGCTAGCATGTTGGGCAGAACGGAACCAGATGAGGTTCAACATAGAGAAATGCAAAGTGCTGCATCTGGGAAGGAAGAACCTCCAGCACACCTACAGGCTGGGCATCGCTAACCTGACCAGCACTAAAAATGGAAGGGATCTGGGGTTAACAACAGACCCCAGCGTGCATGAGCCAGTAATGCAATGCAGTAGCTGCTAGGGCCAATAAAACTTTGGCATGCATCAATTGATGCATCTCCAGTAAATCCAAAGAAGTGATTCTCTCACTTTACTCAACATTGGTGCGGCTGCAACTGGAGTACTGTGTCCAGTTCTGGGCGCTGCACTTCAACAAGGACGTGCTAAAGCTCGAGAGGGTCCGGAGAAGGACCACCCGTATGATCAGGGATTTGCATGGCAAGCCACATGAGGAAAGGCTGAGGGATCTCGGGCTCTTCAGTCTAAAGAAAAGAAGGCTGAGAGGGGAACTGATTGTGGCTTACGGCTGTATCAGAGGCGTACATCAGGGGCTCAGTGAACAACTGCTCACCAGCATGCCCTGGGGGAAACTAGAAACAATGGCCACAAACTCCTGGAAGAGTTTCAGGCTGAACATTAGGAAAAACTTCTTTACAACTAGGGTGTCCAGACTATGGAACAAGCTCCCCCCAGAAGCAGTGCAATCATCTACCCTAGAGGTCTTCAAGAGAAGACTGGACGGTCACCTGGCTGGGGTCACCTGACCCCAGATGTCTTTCCTGGTCATGCAGGGGGCTGGACCTGATGAACCTTCGCGGTCCCTTCCAGCCCTACGATTCTATGAGATGTTTATTAGTATCCCATGATCTTGGGTTCTGCCCTACTACACTACTCCATAAGGTGCAGCTGTATTGAGACCTCAAAGGGTTTTTCCACTGCCTAAGACTAAGTAAATATTTCCATGACGCAGAGACAAAATGATCAACTCTCCACAGATCTGACCCTTACACAGCACAAGAGGAAGGAAATCTCCTGCGCCCCACTCAGCCACATCCCTTCTCTGGACCGGCACAAAACTGTTTCTACTTCCAAGTCCACTCTAAAATTGATAGAAAACAACAATTTACATTACAACCCCAGTCCTGGAGAATGGAGATCCATACTCAGCCTTAGAAACAAGGGAACTACATAAACTCCTAAAGACGCTACACCTCCAGAAACACAGGATAAGATTTATGATTTCAGCCCTGCAGGAACCCAAGATGGGCACCTTTTACTTATTACCCAAGATACACAAACTTGGTAACTAAGGACACTCCATCCTCCCTGGCAATGGCACCATCACAGGAGGACTTTCTGACTACTGACTCTATCCTATACCCATATGCTACTTGAGAGGCCAGCTATACAGTGTGGTAGTGATGTAGCCACTGGATACTACCACAAAATTTCCCGTGAAATGAATTTGCTGGGTCAAGTATTCAAGAGTCCTTTTATTGGAGAGGTGGAAGGTGTTAAACTCTTGGTGAAGTTTCTCTAGAGGTTCCTTCCCATTTGTCCATATGACGAACATGTCATTAGTATACCAGGGCAAGAGAGGACAGTGTCATCACCGGGAATGGTATTCCTTATGGCTTGCAATTCATCCTCACTGGGGATGTTGATGTACTGAGATGTGATATGTATAGTAGCTAATACAGCGTTTGCTGGAAGCTTATCAATGGAGGTTAGTTTCTTAAGGAAACCTGTGGTGTTTTGTGGCAGAGCACCTCTGGTGTCTGCCACTTTAAGAGCCCAAAGAGGCACTGGCAGGTGTCGCCCAGCTCTGATGAGCAGCCAGTTTAAGATTCAGGCCAGCAGAGATGGAGGCAACACTCTGCTGCCTGGCACCGAGGAAACAACATCTCCCGGTAGAGCTGCTGCTCTGGCAACACCAGGAGGTAAGGGCAAGAGGTGAAACTGCATCCTGCTGGGAATGGGTGGCCTGGTGGGGCTGTTCGTGGCAGAATAGCCCCCCAAGAAATGCCAGGCCAGTTACCACCCCAGTGGAAGGCAAGTAGGGGCATCTAAACCCCAGCCCCCATCTTCAGGTGGGTGAATTAACATTGGAGGTAGTTTGGGGCCAGGTATGGC